TAATTTGTTTAACTTAGCTATTAATTGCACATTAATCAAAGATCATGAAAAGAGATCATTCTTAGTTTTAATTAATTAAAAAAACTTATAAATGGATTAATGAGATGCGTAAGTTGAATGAAACTAGGTTTTTTTTTATTTATCTGGTGGGCAATCAGAGAATGACCTTGGGTTGTAAGGAAAAAGTGATTAAAATAAGTCTCTCCCTGTGGAGCAAGATGTGTACCTATTTCTAACCTGTCTTAATAGGCAGAAGGAGGGCTGGATTCATAAATGATGTTTGGTAATAGTTGAATAATGATTTGGTATTCAGCTAAAAGATATTAAAATAGTATCTAGGTTGTCACCAATGCCATGCTTACAATCAGAACAAGCAAAAACTTCCTTTAGAAAGAATTCTAAAACAATGATGTTTCATGTAGACTTGGTTCATGACTTATACCATGGTTTAGCCCATTCTGTGTTGGCAATATGCCTGGGATCAGAACAGCAGGAGGATGCAAAATCCTTTATTATCAGTCCAGTGAAGTTATTCAATTTCTAAAGACCTAGCCATAGCAGGTTAGGAGTTTAAAGCAAACAACAGCATTCACTTATTCATTCAGTGAATTTTTTATTGAATATCTACAGGACAAAAAAGAATCTATCATAAAGGATGTAAAGGTGAAAGGACCTAGTGTTCTACCCTCAAGGACTGTAAAGGACTTATAGTCAGTGAAGGATATAAGCCATCTATAACAATAATAGTACAGTTGTTTTATGTCACAAGAAAAAGAAATATGTTTATCATGATCTATTATGTGTCAGGCAATATGCTCTTGTCTATGACATCTGGTCAGATCCTTGTAACAACTATGGGAGATGGATTTGAATAGAAACCTGCAAAAATCATTCATAACTGAGGATATCTGATTGGGGAATACAGGTGCAAAGGAATTCAGGTCGTGCAGTCTGTGTGGTGTGGGCGGACAAAGAAGCTTAGTTCAGAGAGCTAAGTGGGGGGCCAGGATGTAAAGGCTCTTGAATGTTAGTCAAGAAAGTCTAGGTTTTGTGCCTTACTAAAGTCAAGAGTGACCAGGCTGTGTTTTAGATAGCTGCACCTGGAAGCCTGAGAAGACCAGGCAGGCATGATGATTAGGGCAGCAGTTTCTTGGAGTCTGCATCTAAACAAACTGAAGTAGGGAAGGTGCCCTCAGGCCTGCTTTTGGAACATATTTCTGTTCCAAAACAAGCTGAAGACTCAGCTTGGTCTTTGTTACTCCAGAGGGCAGAACTAATAGAGGGTAAATCATGGACAAACAATGTTTTAGATATGGAAAGGAAAAATAGCTTGGGAGTCTAGCAGACGTTGGTTTCAATCCCAGTTCCTGGTGTTCTAAAGCAATCCATTTACACAATCTTGCTGTGCCTTTGAGTTAGTATGTTACAATGCTGCTAGTAACATTCACTTTACAGGATGGTTGAAGGATTAAAACAAGGTGGAGACCTTTTGGGAGAAAAGTCAAAAACAGCATCTGGCTCAACTGGAGAAAGATCTTCAACAGTGGGCTGCTTTCCTAGTTTGTGTCCTCCTGTTGCCAGGGAAATTCATGCAGGGGCTGCAGGCCACCTGTCAGGAATGCTGTAGAAGGAGTTCTTGCATCCGATAGGGGTTGCATCAGAAGACTTTTAGGACTCCTCTCTGCAGAATTTCTGCTGCTTTGGTTGTGCCCCATCCCCAATAGTGATGATAATACCTGGTAATGTTCATGGGTACCAAAGGGAAGGTTAATCATCAGAATAGTTAGGCAGAAAATAGTTACCTAGACCTAATTAATGTTGAAACCATAGACATTGTAAAGGGGACATTTTCATTAAGAGAGCTAAGACCCAGGATAGTGGGTAAGTCCTAGGTTCCTGCCCATCTGCCATCTGTTTTTGCTTCTGTTGCAGTGTCCTGATCCTCTGGAGTCTTCCCAAGACACCATAGGCCAGTTATTTAAATGTGTTAGATTCTTTTTTAAAAAATAAAATCTTATAATGAAGCCTAAATGGGCTGGAGTTGTGGCTCAGTAGTACAGCGCTTGCCTAGCATGCGTGAGACATTGAGTTCAATCCCCACCACCACATGCAAAAATTAACAAATTAAAAAAACAGCTGTCAGTGGTTAAAATGGGCTGCGGTGGGGTAGGAGAGGTGGCTGAAATCTTCCCTTTCTCTGGGTAATCCCTGGTTTGAATACTGCTGCTCCAGACCTGGCCTGTTTTCAGCTCTCCTCTGGAGTCTTTTGTTTTCTGGATTCCGATGGCAGCTGTTATCATTCCAGCTGCAGAGGGGATGGGAGGCAACTTCCTGTTATTCTATCCTGCCATCCCTACGGGGGTGGACATTCCTCCCCCATCTCCTGTGTTCAGCAGTAATTTGGAAGAACTTGAGCCTAGAGGCAGCCAATCTATTTCTAGGGCTGGAGGAATGGCCATGGCCAGTTTGAATGGCCAGTTTGAATGGCTATGGCCAGACACTGAAGGCATCTGGGGAGCAAGGCAGGTAATGGGCACTGACAGACAAGTGCATCTCCGACTTAGAGGAGGAAAGATGAGTGGCAGAGAGAGGTTGAATTGTAGATTCAGAAGGTGTCTGAGTTAAGGGTTGTTAAATAAATGGTGGGTGGGTGAGTAGGGGGAGGGAAGGGCTCTGATCCAAGCAGAGATAGAGGATAGAGGGGGTGTGGGGAGGTGAGGGTGTGAAGGAGGGGGGGCTTGAAGAAATCAACGTTGAAGTTTTTGGTCAAGGGATTATTTGGAAGGAGAGCACATTTAAGATGTAAGAATGGTGATCTCTGCATCCTGTACAACAAGAGAAATGACAAGTTGTGCTAAAAAAAAATGAAAGGAACGCAAGAGGGAAAGAAATGATATGAATATATATTTCCTGGGGCCCTAAATATTAATCAAGGCTTTTCATTGAATTGACTATAAGGAACACAAAGAGGAATGAACCAGGGAGCTTACTCTTCAGAAAGCAAGAAATGTATTCAACAGGAAGGCAGGAAATGTATTTAACTGGACATGTAAAACCACATATTTATTTATTTATTTTTTTGGTGGTGCTGAGGATTGAACCCAGGGCCTTGTGCATGCGAGGCAAGCACCCTACCAACTGAGCTATGTCCCCAGCCCCAAAACCACATATTTAAACATCTGTACAATCTCAATTATGCTTATAAAAACCTCTGACATAGGTATTGTCAGCCTCCTTTTAGAGAGGAGGTAACTGAAGTTTAATTTTAGTGACTTCCCCAAAGTTACTGACCTCAGTGGCAAAGCTGTGCAAAGGACTCACTCCCTATTCTTGTTCATTGTAGCACAGCCAAATCTTGGCAGAGGACAAAGACTTTAATTTAATTAGGCTTTGAGAGAAGAGTGGGGATTCCAGTTATGCCCAAAGATGAGAAACAAGCGAAGATCTGTGAGAGACAGGTTTGATTGCAGCAGAGGGGTTCCCAGGAGTGATGTAGTAGATAAGGTGGGAATTTAAATAGAAGCCAGATTGGGGAGTTTTAAGAGCCAACCTGAGAATTGCAGGGAAAAGGAGCCCCGAGGAACGCCCCACTTCCATTCCTTATATTTAGTAGTGGTGCAGAGAAAGAATTAGAGCTGGGTGGGTGGGTGGGGAATGGAATCAGGAATACAAGTGAGGAGTTTGAAATATTTTATATTATAATAATACTTTATATTATAATAAAATAAAGTAGGTGTGAAAGCCATAGCTCAAGCCTGTGGGTTTTTTTTTTTAAATAGCATTACAGTGTTTGAAAGAATGTGGAGTACAAACACGTGTGTATAAACACAGGATGGTTGTGGGGATTAAATATAACACAATGCTGGAGTCCGCACATCTACAAATTTTGACAGACTGGTGAAATGGATGACCAGTCATCAATTACAAAACAATAAAAAGCAACAGAAAATCAATAATTAATTCATTGCATTTCCAGAAGATGATGGATAATATGCTACCTATATCCTATAAAATAGAGCCACTTTTCAACATTCGTTTCTGCCTTGGATAAACTGAAAGAACGTGGTCTGAGAATCTTTGTTTTCTCAGCCAAGGGAATTACACAGCGAAATACCCGCCAAGGGTAAATGTTAGTTAATTCTTAATGATAGCTCAGCCAATGCAATTGGTTCCATTCAACAGTAATTATTCTCTTGTGGTTTGTTGAACTCAATTGTGAGGTTTCTCCCCTTTCCCCCTTTTCAGTTGTTGCTTCGAACAGCAGTCTTAAGGTCCTTAAAAAGGTAAATAATACACATATGTGTATATATATATATATATATATATATATTTTTTTTTTTTTTTCTTACTCTGGAGATTCCATCCTATTTGCCTTGGAAGCTTGTGTGGCGTGATTTTTTTCATCGCCAAAAGGAAAATCAGTCACATTAACCCACCAGTTAACAATCCAGAGCTGGGTCGCCGTTTCTAGGGATTCTCTTCCCAGTCTCTGGAAGTGCTTTTAAGTTTTAAATTCCCCTTCTGAGGCAACACCCAGCAGACCCACGAAGAAAAGGCAGGAGGGTGAGCTGGCGTTTCCTTTATTTGCATGACTTGAAGCTAGCCATTTTCTGCACCACGCGCCGCCGGGCTCTTACTTGCCCGTGACACAGAGGCAATTGTTTTGCCTCAAAAAGGGGGCTTGGGTGGGTTGGTTTCGTTTCTGATCTGGAATATAATAAATACTCCAAGGGGGAAAAAAAAAAGTTTAAAACTCGGCTCGCCAGGTTCTTCGCCATCCCATTATCTCCGTTCCTCACAGATAGCAGGAAGGGCAGCATTTTTTTCTATCAACACCCACTTCCAGCCCAATCTCGCTCAGCGAGGAATGTATAAAATTAGTGGACTCCTCTGAGTGACGCTCGTCCGGCCCAATCAGTGGGGGGCGCAGGCGCAGCCGCCCCGCCCCGCTGCCAACGCTCTTTGGCTCATTCCTGCAGGCGGGGACGGGAGAGGGCGGCGGTGGGAGGAGGAGGTACCTGGGGCTGGGAGTGATGTCAGCTCCCAGCTCGGTGCCTGCCCGGATTCCTGACTTGGTGTAGGGCAGACAGGGTGGGGACTGGCCGGGGAAGGAGTCGTGCGCTGCTGGCCTGCGGCGGGGCCCTGTGGCGGGGCTTTGAACTGGGAGCAACGGTGAACGGAACTTTTGGAAGTAGTGCCGGCGGCTCTCCACCCCCAGGTAAGGGCGGTTGGCCGCGCTCCCTCGGCCACCGAGCAGAGTGGCACAGCTGCGCGGCTGCAGCCGCCCCTCCCCTTCCCGGGGTCGATTTCCTTTTTCCAGCTCGCTCCTGTTTCCCAAAGGGGACCCGCACTTTTGGGGGGCGGAGGTGGGGGTAGGGCTTAACTCCTTACGGCGCCGCGGCGGCGGCTTCCGTGTGGAAAACGCCCGCACGGCTGGGCGCCGGGGGTCTTGTGTGTGTGTCCGTGGGCCCCGGACCCTGCTCCCGCAATAATTCCAGAGAAGCCCAGTCCGAGAAGTGTGGGTGAGGGTGGGCGACGGGGTCCTTAACAATGCCACAGATATCTTAGGAACCATCCACTCAATAATTAAGCTTTCTGAGAGGGAAAAAGTTTTGTAATTCTTCAGTCTTCCTGTGGCCTGTTGTTACACGTTAAGTAAAGTAATATCAATCTTTTGCTTAGAGATCATCGTACAATCTTTTTTTTCTAATCTGGTCAGGATGTGAGAAATGCACTTGGGGTGCATTTATTGTGAGCCTGTGGGAAAACTGGTCTCCTTGGGCACACTCTAAAACTGACCCCTGTTCGCTTGCATTTCTGCCCCAACTTTGGGCTCCCTGGGGGGTTAGGCAGGCCGCCCAGAATCTTCACATCTGCTTCCTGTGGCTGCCTGACCTGACGGAAGGATGAAGGCTGTTAGTTGTGTTTTCAGGAATCATTTTTTTTAGATAAGCGAGTTTTAAGAGGGAAATGTGGTGGAAGGCATACAAGCTCTTCATTATACGGCGTGTGAAGTTTTCAACATGTGGGACCAAATCAAATCCTTGCTTTCACTAAGAACCCCAGACAGCAATGCCGAGAGAACTTGATTTAAAAGACTATGTATGGTAGTTAGAGGAAAGCTTTTGCTGCCAAGAGGGAAAAAGTCACTTTAAGAAGTGTAAGACTGTGATTCCTATGTTTATTTCCTGTTTCAGACCTATTCTTTTTCCTGCGTGGAGATTTTGTGTGTGCAGGTCACTAGCTGAATGTGATTGACTTTTTGAAGAAAAGAATTGACTCTGCACACTGATTCAGAACGCTGCTTATCAGTACTTCAGGGCTCATTCTTTTGGCTGAGACTTGCGAGTAGTTTCCCTTTTCTTTCTTGCAGTCCTCTGTAGTGAAGATCCTCCTGTTGCCAGGTCTGGAGGAAATGGAGTGGACTTCACTGTGAGTCAGGAGCTGTTTCCCAGGCCTCTGACCAAAAGGGCATTTCCAGCAGGTGGGGAAAAAAAGAAGCCACATTAGTGATGGAGGACTTTATGGATGGTTCTCTTGTCTTTGTAGCAGATGACAGGTTTCAGAGCTAGAAAGACCTTGTTGTGTTTTGTTCTGTTGTTGTTTATAAAACACCTGGGTGTGTATTGTTCTTAGTTCCTGCAAAAATTAAATAGCACAGGGTGGATCAGAGCAGGCTTTTTGAAAAGAGAATGCATACTTTACTGGAAAGACCAGAACATTTTAATTTTGGTTTGTGTTTTGGATGGAAACACAGAAATTGCTAATGGCTCAGCAATAATGGTGAATAAGATTTTTCTGTTTATGTTCTATGGTGAGTATGGAAAATGTACTGAATTTTCCAGTTTGTTTTTTTCAGTAGGAAAGATGTGGAATTCTTGTGGGCTAAAGTGAGCTCTCCCTACTTTGGTTGATTAGAGTATTCAAACTGCAGCTTATACTATCAAAAGATGGAGCTGCAAAAACTAGACAGGCAAGCAAAAAGTATCTTTAGGATATTATCTTCATGCGCCAAATTCAGATTTACACTTTCTTTCCAAGAAGCTAGTCTCAGTTTAGGGACTTGAATATTTCATGGCTCTAAATTTGATTCACAGTGTTTGTAATAACAGTCATTTTACCTTATTTTTCTTTCTCCATCCATGTTTATAGGGACAGATGTGGTACAGTATAACATGGTATTCTAAAGGACAATATTTTAAAAAAAAAGTTTGCATTATTGACAAAGGTAGGATCAGGGTTTGGTTAAATTCCTTTTGATAAACAGCTAACATTGTTCCAGTGTACTTTAAAAATTAGGGTCAATTGGCCTTAATGAACAAGTATGGACTTGAAATCCAGGCCACACTGTAGTTTCAGATCAATAACGCCTAATCACAGGGTATCAGACAGTTCTTGGGAACAAGTTCAATGAGGGGGATTTAGTCAACTATGTGGTCTTTTTGTCACTCTTTGTACCAGCATGAGATAAATCAGTACAAGATTATTTCCCCATTACTTACTGATTTATTATTTTTTAAAAAAATCTATCTTATCCATGACATGAAATATTTGTTTTTGTAGTGAATTTTGTTGACAGTTTGTTATATTAAAATTAATTTTTGAGTTTCTCATCTTCATTTTTAAAGGTACCTTGTCTCAGAATACAGCGTTTTTGAACTGCTGACTGAAAGAAGACCTCATTCAACATTCTGACTTTTCAGAAATATTAGTACATGTCTCTGACCTGATTTGGATTACCTTCTCAAAACAACAAATGAATGAGTTAATTAGAGCATATTCATTCATATGTCACCTCAAATGAAAGCATGGGCAAGATGCATTGTATAATCCAGAGATTACCCTAGAAAGTTCTATCAGTTTTGAATTAAGAAAAAAAAAATCACAGTTGTGCAGCTAATTATGAAATCTTGCAGGGAGCCATAGTTGTTATATGAGATGGGTTTAAACAAGAGATTCAAAGCTGTTAAGGCTAGTGTCACATTTTGATGCTTGGCATTGTTTGGAAATAAAGAACAATGTGTTTGTCCTTTGACTAGCGGTTCTGTTCAATTAAAAGCTGATAATTTCACAATTAAATCAATCATCAAACTGTCCAAAAACTGACACTACCCCAAAACTGCCGCAGGCTGATGCAGTTTTCTCATCTGTAGTATTTTATGTCATTTATTTCTCACACTTATTGTAGTGTGTGTCAGAACCTGTATTGTCACATATATCACAGAAGTTGATGCTTTATTAATGGAGCTCATGGCTCAAAAAAACAAAAAACAAACAAACAAAAAAAACCCCCAAAACTACTTTGAGTTAACTCACTCTACAAAATACAAATATTTTAAAAATATTTTATTTTAAATACAATAATTATTGATGTAAGTTTGGCATTAAATGTTGATGTTTCAGAAAGCCAAATGGTGAGGGTTTTTGTTACTTCAGTATTTTTTCCCCCTACCTTAAAGGAACTGAAACACCAAACAGCTGGAATTTAAGAAATGGGCTCTTCCAGAAGTTTAAAGTTTGCACACTTGGTAGGTAACTGGGGGGGAGAAGGGAGGGTCTGAGTTAAACATGTAGCACTCTGTACTTTTTCTGAAATGTGGGCTTGGACTCTGAGTGGTCCAGGTGGGTGTGTTGTCACAGTTTGCGACTGTACTTGGGTTATGAGTCTCCCTGGAACGTGGTGTGACTCACGTTTTGACTGGCGCATATGCACATCCTTGTTTTTGTTGGCAAGTGTAAAGGGTTGAGAATAGAAAGACCATTTGGTGGTTTCTGTACAGTGGTACACCTAAAAATGTCCGTGACTGAAGGAACTGTACAGACTCAAATTGCATTGAGTATCAGTCATGCTGGCAAAGGCTCATAGCTTAAATATGGGTGGTGTAGGAGGAAGATCAAGTACTATAATGTTTGGGGCTGACTGTAGATTTCTTGGACATCCTCTGAACTCTAGGTTTAGGCATATTTACCTCTCCTTTAATTTAGGGAAATCAAACACTGGACATAAAAACACACAAGTTTAGGGAAGCAGGTATGCTTATTCCTAGAGTATTTGTTAAAAAGGCAAACTTAACTTCACCTGGTGAGAGACTGAGAATTTGGTTACTTATTTCTGAATAAGACTTGCCACTCTTTTCAGAAATAAGTAACCAAATTCTTTAGTGAGGGAGACAGTTCTTGAGAAGAAGTAGGTAGGCCCACTGGGAAATGTGTTAACTCTTTCATAGGAGGGTTGTTAGGCTGTACAGTATCACTCAATGTGCCTACATTATCTTGTGTTTCTGTGCCTAGGATGTAGATCACTGCAGTTCTTTTTCTGGCCTTTTGTCATCTTTATCTTCATCTGTATTACATCGTACAAATGTCATCTCACTGCTACAGAGTTGTATGAGTATTTATGAGGAAAGTTTATTGAATCGCGTTTATTTGGAAAAAGTGAAAACTATTTTTAAACTCTGGCCTACTTTCTTCATGTAGTAGCTTGACAGTGTAGCTGCAGTTATACAGATAAAGTCCCTATAACCACTATCTTTTTCTAAAGATGCTGATTTTTAGAACAACACACAGTAGAGAATTTTATTTCATTTGAATTGGAATTGAAACATGTTCTTTTCTTATGAATGATAGAAGAGTCAAATGGGCTTCTAAGTTAATTCTGGGAAGTGAGAAGGGAGGTAGGGAGTCATTGAGCAGTCAGGGGAAAACACTCTGTTTGAACCTGTGATTCCATTAGGACCATATGTGTGAAGTCACCTGGGTCTCAGTGTTTTTCCTCTGGATCAGCTGCTTGGATGTTCTTGTCAAACTTTTACATTCTTCCATCCTCCACTTCCAACAGTGTATGACTTTGCATAACTGAAAAAGCTTCTAAATACAGAATTTAGGTTCTTAGTTGTTCTTTACTATTTATTCTTTGCCCAAGATACTTTGATTCTTTAGGTTGACTTGCCCTCTACATCACTCTGTGGACTGGACACACCCAGATGTGTATCCTGCCCATGTCTTCCCTACATCTAACCCCATTTTGTTTAATTCACCACCATGGCCAGTTAAAAGTGCCCAATTTTCCAGAATCCCCTGCAGCGGGGGTATCTTAGTGATGTAGTCTAGGCCAGTGAGATGTAAGTACCAGGGTCCTTCCTCCCTTATCCCCAAAGCTCTGATAAGGGGACAGCCTCTATGAGCTCACCTGTTAGGCCTTTTGTTTGTATTTCTTTTTTCTCCCTGGAGAAAGGGGACAAAGCATCTTGTGACCAAAGACAAAAGGCTTGAGGATTAAGAATGGCTGGGTAGAAGATAAGAAGGAGGCTGAGAAGCTGATGGCATTCTGAAACTGCTGTATTAGACCTTGTCTACCCATGACTTTGATGAGAAAAACAAAATCTCTAAATCACAGAAATTGGATATGTACTTGTAGCCAAATGTGGTCTTAACTTGTGTCTAAATTTTAAAAAGTTATCTGTTCTTTAGGAATTAAAAGGCATTATTCTGTATGAGGGGAAAAAGGGTAGGACTTTGGAGCCACACAGATCTCAACTTGAATCCCCACTTCCAACTTGAATTCTGACTTTGCTGTTTATTACAGTCTGATATTGGCAAATAATTGAACTTCCTTGGGTCTCACCTTTGCATCTATAAAATGGTAATAATAATGTTTGTGTCAGACAGTTTTTGCAAGGATTAGACATAATTAGAAATTATTAATAGAAATAATAATGTATATTTGGCCTTGGTAGATTTTCAGCAAAGAATGACATGATATTACGGAAGGAGAGTGTAGTGGGGAGCCTGAGGAGGGGGAGGGAAGTAACTCAATAGCCCTTCTCCTCATAGGGCCTCAGTAAACCTAGGTGGAATGGGTGAATGGTAGGCTAGTATTATAGCTGCTATCATTTGTCTCCATCTGCTCATGATTCCTTTTAGCTCCCATCTTAGTCCCACATGCCCAGACAAGGATTCTTGGAACTTTCTATTCTCCAATATTGGTTGAGAAAGTAAAGGATGTTTTTATGAAACTTTTATTAACTATAGCAAAGGGATAAAGGTGTGGGCTCTGGAGCCAGACAACTGTAGATTAGAATCCCCTGTCCTTAATAACTGTGATTTTGGTTAAGTCTTTTGTGAATGGAAATAATTGGGTGGTTATGAGGATTAAATATGATAATGTGTGTGAAGCACTAACAGCTGTTTTCCTGGCTAGCTACCTGTACTGGACTGAATATAGTTACTGTTATTATTTGTTGAGCATTTGATGAGCAATTCTAGCCTTGGTATAAGGTCCTCTTTGAGATGAAAAGATGAACAAAACATATTATTTACCCTTTACAGTATTCATGTATAGGAAATGAGGACAGAAAAGGGATGGCATATCTTATACATAACCATTATAAAACCAGATTTTGAATACTACTTAGCTGTTAAAAAGATTGAAAAGAATATACTGAGTTGTACAGGTATCTGTATATTTTAAGGAAAAAAACTCCC